GTCAGCAGCCTCAGCATTTTGATTTGGCAGATGAGAATATTCCATCCAGGATTTCTGCACCAATTGCTGATGAGCTCCTGTTGCTGCCCCCACCCTTACACAGGAACAAAACCCCTCAGTCAAGAGACAGAAGAAACAACGATGCAATAAGTGACCAACACAAGAGAAGTGTCCCAGCCCCGACGTGAGCCTTTGCTGTCACCTTACTCAAACCAAGTTTATGATACACCAGATTGGAAGGGACCTCAGGGATCATCTGCTCCAACCTGTCTTGGCAAAAGCGCAGTCTAGACAAGATGGCCCAGCACCCTGTCCAGCTGGATCTTAAAGTGTCCAATGTTGGGGAACTCGCCAGTTCCCTGGGGAGATTATTCCAGGGGCTGATTGTTCTCATTGCGAAAAATTCCTTCCTGTCTCTAATCTCCCCCAGAGTAAGTTGTACCCATTACCCCTCTTCTTTTCCATGTGACTCCTTGTAAAAAGGGAGTTTTCATCTTCCCTCTAGCCACCCTTTAAATACCGGAACATGGCGCTAAGATCTCTCCTCGGCTTTCTTTCCTCAAGGCTGAACAAACCCAGCTCTCTCAGCCTTTCCTCCTGGAGCAGGCTTCCCAGACCTCTGGTCATCTCTGTAGCCCCTCTCCGGACCCTCTCCAGCCTGTCCACAGCTTTTTCGTACAGCGGGGACCAAAACTGAACACAGGGCTGCAGGTGTGGCCTGGCAAGCGCTGAGCAGAGTGGGACAATGTCTCTCTCTCTGCTGGCGATGCCCTGGTGGATGCAGCCCAGCCCCCTGCTGGCTCGCTTTGCCGCAGCAGCACCCTTTTCACTCACAGAGCCTGTTGTCCACCAGGACGCCCAGGTCCCTTTCCGCAGAGCTGCTCCCCAGCCAGGTAGATCCCAGCCTGTGCTGCCCTCCTGGATTATGTTTTACACTCGTCCTTGTTGAACTTCAGAAGGTCCTTGTCAGCCCACCCTTCCAGCCTGTCCAGGCCTGCCTGCAGGGCAGCTCTCCCTCCCGAAGTGTCCACTTCCCTGCTCGGTTTGGGATCATCAGGAAACCACCAGGGTACACTTCATCCCGTCATCCAGATCACTTATGAAGACATTAAACAGCGTTGGGCCCAGTATCAGTCCCTGGGGAACCCCACGTGTGACAGGTTGCCACTTTGAGAAGGAGCTACGTACCAGCACACCCCTGGGTCCGCACCCACCGCCCAGACCACTCGACTAGAGCATGGGGTCTTACTTGCACAGGAAACCTGGACTGCCTAAAAAATAGCTGGTATTTCTTTCCATGTCCAAGCAGCACACCTCTCCTCTGCTCAGCAGCCTCGTTAAAAAGCAGAGAAGCGTGTCCGGTACCTTCACTTCTCAGTCCTGATTCCCAGCCGCTGCAGGCAGTCAATCCTTCTACACCTCCCTGACAGAGACACTCCTACACCTCTGCACAAATGGGTCACCGTGACCAGAGGGCTGCAAGATGTTTCAACATCTGTTTGCTTGTCTCTGCTCAGTCACAGCGTATTTTAACCAGCGAGATGTAGTCCAGCCTCACAGTGACTGAACCCTAAAACACTCCCATTACCTTGGGCTCTTTATTTTTCTGATCTAAGTAAAAAGTAAAGTAAAAGTTACGTAAAATTAAAAGGCAGAGCCTGAAAGTACTTGGGGCGGGAGGGAGGAGGAGATCATGCACACTTTAAATGAGCTCTCCTGCCGTAGTCTCACATTTTCAGGCAGTCTATCAGTGTGCCCTAACTGCCTGTCAAGAAAAGATCAATCACTGTAAATGTACTTCCCACGTTGTCTGAATGCCAGCACAGACAGCAAGACGAGCCCTTCCCATCAGAATCAGAGGGGGGAACCGACATGAGAGAGCAAGTGGAACACAGACCTGCTGTTGTCCATCTGCCCATCTCAGACTCCTCTTCCCGTCCGACCACAACAGACGGGTCCCCGGGCTGAAATCAGGTCAGAGAGCACGAGCACTGCACACTGTTTCCACATCGAAGGACAAGGGAACTAAAGGAGACCTGGCCAGTGGGAAGGAACCCAATCCAAGCGTAGGTGTGCCAGAGCCACAGGACAGACTTCGCCATTCCCCCCTCTCTGCCCACCCACTACCCATTCAAATCGGCATCTCTGAACCCTGCCAAGATAAGGGGGCGAGCTCGGACAAAAACAGAACAAGGAACCGAGGGGGCACGATCCACTGATGATCATGAAACCCTCACGGCCAGCCCCACACCTGCACAGGAGGGTTCCCGAGCCCAAGCAAGCAGCTATTTCAGCTGGGCTGAACTCAGCCGGCTGTTCCGCAGGGCCAGGAATTTGTGCAACAGCTACCTGGGGCGTTCAAAACAGCAAAACGCTGATTTCCAAGCAGCCATTGTGCCTTGGTTAAAAACAAACGACCCTCCAGAGGGTTCCAGACGTTTGCCAGTTTCATCAGTTTGCCTGCACCAAAGCGTGGTGGGGAAGCGGCGCGACCAAATCCTGACGGGTCTCTGGGGAGGAACAACTGAAGATGAAAACGTGCTGTCAAAAACGGCAAGCGGGAGAAAGGCAGGCAGTGCTGTAACCAGGACATGGGAAAAAAGGGATTTCCCACGAAGAAGCTCCAATATGAGCGAGCCAAGAGATTAAATGGAAAACAGTGAGAACTGCTTGTGAAGGGCTGATTTGTTATTCTACCAAGACTGCGGGGGTAGAGCCGCAACACCGCTCTTGGGAAACCGTGGATCAACAGATGCCAATTTGGGAGCCACCTCACTTTCTGCTCAAGAAATCCTGACCAAAGGAGGAATTAACTGAGATTACAAAGCTCAAATCTTTCTTCAGTGGAGACACACGGGAGGGAATTCACCAGGATCTTTGGCAGCATTCCCCGACACTGCCCCACAGGAAAAACAAACAGTTCCTTTTTTCACCACTCAGAACAGAGATGCACATTTCCCCAAACCCCATGTCCTTAGGGACAAGTTGAAGCTTGAATTCCTGACACTGCTAACACTGCTGGCATGAGAAAATTCCTTATCAGAGTTAAGTAACAGAGACCGCATCCCTCAGGCTACAGATCAAATGCTCTTGGGCAATGCTGACAATAAAGCCAAGTCTTCCCTTCCCTTCCACTTCTTGGGAATCCCCAAACGAAGCAGGAAAGAGGCAGGCAGGTCAACGGCACACCAGGGGAATTCAGGTACTCTGTAACTGAAAACACTCGTTGTCTTAGGAAAAGCCTCCAACTCTCCCTCAAATTCACAGGCCTGCGCCAGTTCTGAAGAAACACAGAACAGAGAGAAATGAAGCACCTGGAAGATCTGTCTCATACTGCATCTTGAGAGTGTCTTGTCCTTTAACCAGAGAACACCTAGAGGGGTCAGACATAACGCTGCACAGCACTGGACTAGCAGAACAGTACAGCAGTAACAGAAGTGCCTTGGGATGAGTTTGTTCTGGACTCCAAACACCAGGATTTAAGTCCCAACACTCCTCCAGCGACTACTGCACTCACTCACAGTTAGAAGATGAGCTGAAGCACGCTCTGTTCTGGACAAAATCCCGTTCACCTCAGGAATCGCACACATGGCCCAACTACAATTCAACTGTCATCAATGAGGCAAAAAACAGACAAAGGGAGTTACGTACTGGCCTTCTTCAATGTGTATGTCTGAGGTGGGAATCATCTGGCCTGGGAGAGGACTAGTTACTTTTGGTTGTTCTCTGGATGGCAGCGGGAGAGCTCAGAAATCCTCCCGCCTGAAGAGCTCTCTGCTTTCTGGCCATCTGCTGTCACTCCGACACAGTGCTGCCACACTGCCTGCTCCCCTAGGGATTTGTGTGTGATTTCTGAACGACTACTGGAGAACAGGAGGAACACAAAACCTGATGAGAGTATTACCTACACTACAGGAACTTGTGAGCTGGGCAGACAGTTGCCTTTTCAAATTTTAAGCCAATTACGAAAAGAAAAAGGGACAAGCAAAGGAAAGACTTAAAAAACAAAAATAAAACCCCACCAAAGAAAACCCCAACCCAAACCAAAAAAACAAATCCCAATCCTAAAAAAAGAATAAAAATCAAACAAACCACCCAAAAAACCCCAACCCACCAAGCTTCAAGGCAGACACAGATGACACTGTATCTTAACCACCTCCATGGCCATGCTCAAGAGCAGAAAAGCAGTAAATAGTGACTTTCTGTTTACTGCAGAAGAGTCTATTTTTCTCCAAGAGAACAGCGGGGGGGTAAGGAAAAAAACAAACCAAACCAACCAGCCACCCCCACAAAAAGAGACCCAGCTGCCTGAGGCTGAACTGCTAGGGATCAGGCACCTGACCGACACAGGAGAAGGTTCTGCTACAGCCCACAGGTAAGCGGCCACAGCCACTTCTGCCTCCGGGGGAATACGCTGCACACGCTGCAGGTCCGGCAGGCTGGAGGGAAGGTGATGGCATCAAGCTGCCCCTGGAAGACACGGAAGGAGATACCGTATGAGCCACTTCACATGACGGGAAACCAAAGCAGTCGCAGCTGAAGGCAGGTGAAGGGCCGTTGGAGCTCACCCTTCCCTGTAAATCTGGACCGAGGTGGAGACTCAGGCTCACTTCAGCAAAGACGCCGTTTCACGCCGGAGTGATGGGTTCCCACGCACAGCAGGGATGCTTGAAAGAGGATCAAGCAAAACTTCCAAGTACAGCGGTGCTGCTGGATGTTTCATCCCAAAATGCAAAATTCTTCACAGTCATTAGGCAAACCCCTTCCCCCTGCAACAGCCGTCAAAGCATAAAGTACTAAAAAAAAAAAAGGCCACTTAAATTTCAAACTTACTCATTTAATGTTTTAAAAAGGTCACAAGATTGCTTTCAATCTTATTAATAAATTTTATTTGGACAAGTAGAGAACAACTTGTATCACAACAGCTTTAAACAACATGATTAAAGACTGCAGCACTCCAAGGAGGCTGACAGATATGTACAGTATACGAAGAAAAAAGTTGCACCTCAGAGCCGATCATGATCAAGTTAAAAATACCTGACTTAAAGTACATGTGCTAATAAATTTCCTTTAGGTCATGACCAGCATGAAAATAATCAGGACACAGGTACTCAGCAAAGTTTTCTGCTAATGGATACAGCAATATGCTGCATTTAAGGATTAAAATCAAATTCTAGTTTAGTGTTAGCACTGAGCCCTTAAGAGAAATCCAAATTTCTAATTTTCCCCATTTACAAACATCAAAGCTATTCCCACTTAAGGGTGTGCCCAGCTGCACACAAATCAAGTCCTTGAATGATAAAAACTTTTAGCTCTAATACTGGAGGTCTCACGTCCCGGTATAAATTTGCCTTTCTGGCCATTTCATCTATCAGTTGCTACAGAAAATACTTGCTAAGTTAACTCCTCAGGAGAAACAATGCAGGTCTCTGGGAATCACATCCTTTCTACAATGAAAATGATCTGCCAATTCAAGTTTTGTTTTTTCAGGAAGACAGAAGATTTAAGGCTTCGGTGGCAAGAATAATCCTCTGAGCAGTGTTTTTCTGAAGTCAAGCTGACACAGGTATGTTTACTTTTTCTTGACTTAAAATCCCTGGTATCAGGTTTAGGTAACATCCACCTGTTAAATCTGGCAAGAAATCTCTCCTTCCAAAGAGGCTGTCCTAGATCAACCATTTTAGAAGCATTTGAGGATAGTTTGTTTCAATTTTTTTTAATTATAGCAACATTCAGAACTTTTTAGTAAGTTGATGAAGCAGTGCTCATGGCATCGTCTGCAATCTTGGTACTGGCAGGGTGTATGCTTGCAAAATACTTGACATCACTGTCGTCATCCATTTGAAGCACCATAATCGTTTGTTCCACAGCTTCTTGGTGAGAGTTGGCAGAATTTAGAAAATACTCTGCAAGAGAAAATGCACAAGACTTACAGAATGAAAAGACTGCAGACACTTCAGCGTAAACCTCAGCATACTGTCATGAGGTTCAAAACCGCAGGAGACATGGCACACGTACAGTCAAACTGGAGTATCTGAGCAGGCACACAATACACTTCTGAATACACCTGAGAATTCCCCTTGTTTCAGGGCACAGCTGCTCTAACCGTGCTGTTAGAGTACAGGGTTTCTGTGGTCCTTCAGTATAAATGCAAGCCTGACAGCTGCCATGACCAAAGAGGAAGAAAAAAACTGCAAGACTCAGGAGTGCACTTGAACTTGTGATGGAGGGAAGGTATCCAAACCCATGCCACTCCGCTCGCGGGCAGGCTTGCCAAGTAGTTACCAAACAATAAAACTAAGGTAACATGAAATAACAGCGGAAGAAGTTCCAACATCTGATGGTTTTCATGACCGACACAAGTTGCATAAAAGCAGCGTAACTACAAACAGCTCATAGGAAGGGCAATTTAGATCCAAGGTTTAAAAACTTCTGAACTTGTTTAAATCTACCTTTCTTAGTCTATCCCCCACCCCTAATCACACACACGACATCTCTGAGGGAGGGACTACCTGTATGGAACGCTGACCCAGCAGCAATGCAGAATGGGGTGGGGAACACAAAAATAACAAGCAAGGACCACAACACAAATACCAATGCTACATGGTAACAGGACGAACGGTGACAGCATCGGCACAGTTAACGGAGGATAAATTACTGCACATCAGCTGATCCATCTTAACTGTCTGCATGTGCTTACTCAGAGCCTCCAGCACGCACAAGACAGCTAGCACAGCCTCGCTCTCACTGTGGGCCATCCTTTGTGCTGTCCACTGTTCCAAATCGTTTGCATTTTCCTTCACACTTCCTACGCTAGAAACAGCACTCCTCAAGCTGGTGTGTGGTTTTGAGAAATGCAGTGGCCAGAACTGGATGAAGTATTCCACCTGTGGACACTCTGCTGGTTTAATAAACAGCATAACATTCCTAATGCTATTTGCCTTTACAGTGCTCTGGACTCCGAGCACTGCTGACTCTTCTGGCATCTGCTCTGCACTGGGGACTCTTCCCTAAGCAAAGCCTGCAATTTGAAAGTTGCCTGTCTAATTTCCCTGAAGAGACTCCAGAGGAACTTTCTTCCCACTGCTACCATGAAATATAAAAACCAAACAGCAGCCACCTCTTCTCCACCAGTGACAAAACAGACGGTGGTTTGCATGGAAAGATTTTTCTGTCATTCTTATTACACAGAACATCAACAGATTTTAATTTTTTTTTTTTTTTTACCAAATGAAGGGCCCTGCTCAACAACTTCACAGTTGCTAGTTGTTCGTTTGTACTTTCTGTGCCTTGACGACACATCTACAACCTAGCTCCTTCAGAGAAAATGGTACCAAAAGAATGGGCTGGTGTACAAGCAAGAACTCTTACTTCCTCAGCGTTACACAACCGTGGCTCTGATGCCATAACAAGGTTCATGCTTTTATCTCAGCCAAGGTAAATCCCACACCAAGGAGTCTGTAAAAGCACGAGCGACCCCTGTCTGATGTTGTTTCTTCCTTCCCAGCTGACTACAAGAAAGTGGAGGGACAAAAAATACGCAGTCAGCCCACTGCAACTCCTTCTGCCACTAACCTTTCTCTAAAAGGGTTTGCTTTAACGTTTTTGCAAGCAGGACTCGAACATTTGGAACCCTGTCAGATGCCAAGTGTAGTAAATGCGGCAACAGATGCACAGCAAACTGGTCCATGGGCAGGCAGTCATCCTCACTGATAGTCTGGCAAGGAGACAGAAGCAGTTTCATTAGATTTCAGCACAGTGAGGATAAAATCCCAACACATAATCAGAGCTCACAGATCTTATTACCTCCATAGCATGAATACAGTACGTAGTATCCACAAAGTCTTAAAATAGGGTACAGTGCTTTCTAGCACAAAGTCATACACAATGAAGCACGTCTGGGTTGAGGAAATCCAGGCTCAGCAAGAAGCCCGCTTTGTTTTGTATGAAATGCAGCAATTTCATTGTTTTTATTGTGGTTTTTTTTAAGTCACTGTATCTTTTGAAAAGAGGGAAGAAAAGTAAAAGACTCTCCCAATTCTTTTCAAGATTGATTTAGTCTTTGTTTTAACTAAGTATTGTATTAAGACAAGAACGGTCCACCTCAATAACCATCCGTTGTACCCAAACATGTTTCTCTAACTAAGCTCAAAGCTCACATCTCTCCAAATACGTCCAAGAACTGTCCCACTCGGGCAGCAGACCCCAGCTAGTTTCAACTGTTCTGCTTATTTTGCAGAGAACACGTTTTGTTGGTTTTGACCAAGCTGCACGAGCTGCCTAAGGAGGAATAGGCAACTCCTAGTGCTTGATTTCTACAGAGTAACCCAAAGAAGTGGTAGGCTGCTGCATGCTACAAATATCTCACTTGATGCTGCGTAACAAAGCAGCTTCCCAACTCAGGGATTATTTTGCTATGCTTTTGTTTTATATTCAACATCAGATTTGACAAACTGGTGTTCACAAGCTAAGCTAAAGATGAACACAAGCTCATCGATGGAGCAACACTGAAGAAAGCAGCCATGAAATCTATTCCCTTGGAAACAAAGTTCTCAAATATTCATGAAACTCATGTCACAGACAGCTGAAGAGTTCCAGTTGCCATCCCCTCTTAGTTCTTACTACCACCCCCCAAAACCAAGAGATGAACAAAAAGACATTTCACCTGGCAAATAAAGACAAAAGTTTGCCGACCAGACCATTTGCGGCATCTACAAAACTTTTCAACAAGTTCATTCATGAGATCTACCACGAAGGTTGATGTTGGAGCCATGTACAGCTTTTTCACCATTTCACTGACCTTGAAGAAATGAGAAGAAAAAAACCAACAAACGGAAGTTACTTCTGACCACCAAGCCTCAGATGTTTAAAATCCTGAATTTACTGAGATTGTTTTACCAGCTTGTAAGAAATCCAACGGACAGAAGACACTTTGTCTGCACAGAGGCTGAAAGCGATAGGTCGCAAGTAGTCATAAATGTCTCGGGCACTGTACAGATCCAGAAGCAAGATCAGTTGCCTACAAGATGGAATAAGAACGAGAGTACATCACAGTAAGAAGAAAGGTAGCTTCAACTGTGAGTATGATCATTTATATGACAACACTCGCCAAATACGCAACGTGGCCATAATGAAGTTACGGAAAAGTAAAATCTTGTATTTTTCAATGCCATCAGTTTGACTACGGGTCACTTGCAAATTTTAAATTACCACTTATTCACAACAATGGCAAACACTGCATGAGCTCCAAGGATGAAAAGTTAGGGGAGGGGTAAGGGAACCAAGATTGCATTTACAAGGCAGGGATCCTGAAGACAGGTACAGTGTACAGACAGCACAGCCATCCGGCTGTGAGAGACACCACAGGGCGCACGTATATTCACATACCCAGTAGAGACTTCTCACACACATAACGTATACAGCTACAAAGCAACTACTCTGACTTAGTTTGTTCAGTGTCCTCGGTCACTTAAGCACCCTGATTTATCAAATCGATAACCCTCCTCTACTTCAGAGTATACTGGACAACTACAGAAATTATCAGTTGTCTTCAATTTGTAATGAATGGATTAAGATCATGTGCACGTTGATTAAGATAATGTGTGAAACTGATGCCAAGTAGATCAAAGTAAGGTATAAAAGATATGTTTAAGGAAATGTTCCCTTGGAAAGATGTTGGAGCAGCTCATTCTGGGGGTCATCTCAAAACATGTGGAGGAAAAGAACATCATCAGAAGTAGTCAACATGGATGCACCAAGGGGAAGTCCTGCACTTGGGAGGAGTAACTGTGCACCAGTACAGGTTAGGGACTGACCTGCTGGAAAAGAGCTCTGTGGAAAAAGACCTGGGAGTCCTGGTGGACAGCATGTTGACCATAAGCCAGCAATGTGCCTTTGCGGCCAAGAAGGCCAATGGCAACCTGGGGTGCATCAGGAAGAGTGACCAGCAGGTCAAGGGAGGTTCTCCTCCTCGTCTACTGTCCTGGTGCAGCCACATCTGGAGTACTGTGTCCAGTTCTGGGCTCCCATTCAAGAGGACAAGCAGCTACTGGAGACAGTCCAGCAGAGGGCTATGAAGATGATTAAGGGGCTGGAGCATCTCTCTTATGAAGAGAGGCTGAGGGACTTAGTTATCACCTGACCTAGTTAGAGATGTCCCTGCTTATTGTAAGGGTGTTGGACTAGATGACCTTTAGAGGTCCCTTCCAAACCAATACAGTCTATGATTTTAAGATTTCAGCAGGTTGCAGACTCTAATGTGTCATGAATGGTAGAAACTATGTCCAATGAAGTGCACGGCATGGTACAAGCAGCCAACTGAACGTCTCCATATCAGCAGTAACAGGTAAGTGATTTGTAGTTACTAAACCAAAACACTTAAATGTAGCAAAAACATCACGATCAGTTGTTAAAGTAGGTCTCTCAACATTGACTTAAAAAGTCACACTGTAATTAGTCATTGCTATGTGCTCACTTCATCATCCCTGCTAGCGGAGCCCTGGTTGCACAGTCTCTCCTCGCACGGGAGGTGCTGCAGCTTTGACCATCTTGGTGGCCCTCTGCTGACTTGTTTATCAGCATCTTCCCTGTACTGGCATAGGTGCGTTACCCAGATGAGACCTAACGAGGGCTGACTGGAGGGGGCTAATCTGTTCTTGCGATATACTGACCGTGCTGCCTGGCACACCGCCGGCTCATGTTCAGCTCGCTGGCCTCCACGATGCTCTGAGCTTTTCCAGCAGAGCTGCTCCCAGGGCAGCCAGTCCTTACCTGTCTCACTGTCAGAGGCCCTTCCTTCCCACGCACAGGACGTGGCATTGTCCCTTGTTGAATTTCCTAAGACCCTTCCTCTGCCAGCTTTCCTCAGCGACTTCGCCCTTCAGAGCTGCCTCTCACAGGGGCCTGCCTACCAGTTCCACGAAAAAGCCAAAGTCTGGTCAGGTGAAGTCCAAGGTCACGACTCTGCTACTCACTTCCTTTACTTCCCTAAAGATCTTGATCCCCTCTGTTTCACAGTCATGAATTCAGCCTACTCCTACAGCAACTTGAAATCAAATTGCTAGAATGCTTATGTTGACTTCAAGAGCAACCAGATGTGGTCTTCTTGTTTGGCAGCTTCTCTTTTATGTGAGGGTCATGTTTTCAACATACGGTGACGGGAAAAGACATTCAAGTTCCAACTATTATGAGTGATATGCAACTACTGGGAATTTTTAAGCAAGGGGAGTTGGATAAGGACTATCCACTAATTAAAAATGAAATAAAGAATGTGACTGCAACATATCTATTCTACGATTTTTAACAATTTTTAAATATCCATAACAACAATAAGCATCCAGAAAACTACATACTCAGCCAGCTCAGCACGGAAACGCCAGTTCCTGCTGTTATCAGTCACTAGGAATTCCTGAAGCTGATAAAGATACTCTCGTCTTTTGTCAAGATGAAGAAGCTGTAACAGTAAACGCAAACTTACATGAAGAAACGTAGGCTACAATCAGCAGATGAAACAAAAGCTTCAAAATACATTTAATGAAACACTTGCTTTTACTAAAAAATAATAAAATCTTTACCAATAGTGTTCTTCCCTGGGCTAAATCCTATCACGCTTAAGTCTGTAAAATCACATGGGACACTACCGAAAGCAAAATCTGATCTAGTCTCTACTTTTACTCTAGAAAACAAGAAGGGAAGCAGTAAAGATAAGATTGATTTTAAAGGTTTTACGATTTATGTCTTGCATCTCCAAAAACTCCTATAGAAATTTGAGAATTAAGCTGTGTAGAGGTTAGAGCTATCAAAAAAACTTAATACCATCCACTGGCACCTATATATTGAATAAACATGCACACAAACCAGGCTCTTCAGAGAAAAGTAAGTACTGGCAACACAGATCTCCTGCAAAATATGCTCTAGTATTCAACAGACATCTGTATGAACTCCCACAAAGAGTTGTACCAGGGTTATGTTAAAAAGCAAGTGTGTGCAAAGAAGCGAAGCAAAGTACAGTACTACACTTGACCAGAGCCGAACACAGACATACCTTCAGAAAGTCATGCAAGTGTTTAAGCACACCTATCCTGACTTCATCCAGATCTTTTAAAAAGCCATTGAAGACAGGAACTAAATCTCCAGCTGTAAGCTGGTCTCCAAGGATGACAGCAAGTTCATGTATAGAAAATGCCAGTGTCCGCCGAACCTTCCACTGCAAAATAAATGAACAAATGAATTTTATTGATGTACCTCTGAAGTGCTCTATTTTAACCTGAGGGTCAGGATCCAAGCTGGACTCCCAGCAACCTCCAGTACTTACAAATACATTCAACAGTATCTCATGTAACAATTGAAAATGAAATTGGAAATTAATTAAAAAAAAAAAAAGGAATAAAAAAGAAAAATAAAAGCGAGGACAAGTGACAAGGTATAATTTCTTCCACCTGAATATCAAGGAACAAGGCAAACAGAAGTATCGAAAATATTTTAGTCTTCCAGGTATCAGGAAGGAAAATAGTATTCCTGACATCAGCACTCTTTCACACATTATCCTCTGCTTTAGGTTCTTTTGGGTTAATCCATTCCATACTACTGCTTTCTCACTCTAATTTACAAAAGAGATAAGATATATAACCCACAGCATTTCACCTGGCATATTTTAGCTTCCATAATAGATAAAGGTTCACCCACACTGGGTGCCCAGTAGTTCAAGGACCAGTAGAGCTTTTACTCACCCTAAACTGAGGGGGCACTGTTTAATGGAGTAACTATTCCAAATAAGACTTTTTAAAAATAAAATAGCATCTGTTCTTCAGCCAGCACTTTCCAATTAGCAGGGGTACTGTTCTTTTGTCCTGGTTTGGCGATTCAGTCGTAATTCAGATTACACTGGCAGTAACCTCTGGACAGTTCTGAATACAGGGTAATTTGGTTTTAGTTAGGTTTTAAATTTATCAGCTGGTTGTTTTTAATGGCTGCAAAAGAGTTTGGAAAATATGAGCAACAGCCATGTATAAAATTACTCACTACACATCACTGAGAACTGCTGCTCTGACATAGCAAGCAGCAAGTTCAAGAGAGGTGAAGCAGTCTGAGAATGTTTCAAAACATAAAGAGCATCTCCAAAAAAGGAAACAAGGGAGGACTGGGAAACAACTGTAAACCAACAGTAAAATGCACAAAGCCATCTCCTTGCCACCTGACAACAAGGAAAATGCTATTTCCAGTACTTGTTTTTAACGCTGCAGGGTGATAGTGATGTTATTCCCTTATGACTAACTGGATGCAGCACCAAAAGGCCACCAAAAAGCCTGGCGTGAGGCTGACTCACTCAGCTCCAGACATGCCTGCAAGGGCACATGTCTGCTCACGCAGAGCAGCACAGCCCAAATTCTCATACCTATGAGAAACCCCGGCACTGCCGTAAGATCTCAAGCGAGCATAAGAAATTTAAGACCTCTCCTCACATTCCCACCGGAGATCCACCTCCCACTCAACCTGCCCCACTTCCTTACCACCTGAGCACCACACCCCCCCAGCTTCCTCCGCGACAACCATTACACTTTCACTCATCATACAAATAACTGATACCAGCAACAGAAAGCTCCATGTAAAAAGCAGAGCAACCCAGCACCCAGTAAACAAGAGAAATCTGAAACACAGAAGTTCAGATGACTCATTGTCACATCGTAGAAGTTCAGCTCATTCACTCTCAAGAGCTTTTTGATCTCACCTGCATGTCAGATGCCAGCGTCTCATAGGTATCTTTCAAACAGTGCCAATTCTGCCGGCCTAACGTAAGCGCCACACCGGGCAGGCTGTAGGCACAGTGTTTGGCAATCTCGGTATCAACTGTTTGTGCACGGGATGGATCGGTCATCGATAAATACTGATCCAGCAAGGCTTGAGGTACAACATCCTACAGTAAGAAAAAAAAAAGTGTTTACACTATTTTCAATAAATCCTCATAAGGCTTACTAAAATTCCAGGGCACACTGACAGAAAATCTTTTTTTCCCCCACAACTATAGAGTATTCCTTAACTGCAATCTCTTCATAAGAATGCAAAGGTTTTGTATTTCCTAAGTTCCACCAAAAAGTTCCAAAGAAACAATGACATGACTGGGGGCTATTTGAAAATATAAAGAGCCATGTAACAGACGAATGGGTGGATCACTGTCCACTTAAGCAGACCAGGAAATTAAGAGACTACTTATTCTACCTTTCTACAAACATGCAGGCTCATAGGCTGTGCAAATTGGCCATTTTAACTCATCCATAAAAACAGGCAGGACAGCAAATGATTAGACTTGCTCAAAAATCGTTTTCCTGTTCCTCTCAAAATCTTGGGGAGGTGGGGAGAAGAAAACCAAATTAAAATGCTTCGGGGAGGGAGGGAAGGGGAGGGGGCAGAGCATAGCGTGTTCAACGTTGCTTCCAAACTCCCTAAATAGCCAGCAAGAACAAAAAGGCTTCTCCAGAGACAAAGAGATCTCTGGCAAAGACCAATACTTCTCTCCACTGAGAAATTAAAGCACCTGAATGAAAATTTCGTGAAAACCTCTTTGCATTGACTCCAACACTGTCTTTGCTTCATCTATTGTCAGTTTATCTCAGGCACCGATTCTACCCAAGGGGGTGCACAAGAGCACTTCCCTAACACAGCTGCCAAATAGCTCAGCTCAAGCAAGCAACAAGAGGGACAGGGGCTCCCACTCAAGGAATCACGCTGGCACAGGGTGGCACACTTAATACTGAACGATATAATAACAAACATTCGATTCCTTTGGGGAAAAACACAGGTATAGTTCGAGCTTAAAGAAACACTTTCACAACTTTTCTGCAAAAAGCTGTCATGGGGTGGGGGTGATCCCATTCAAACAAACAAACAAAAAATCTTGTTTCCTCAATAATCCAATTTCTATTACAGGATAGTTTCCATAGAAAATGAAACCAAGTAAAACCAGAAGCCTATGACAACCGTTACCTCATGTCAAAAAATACTGTCATCTCTTACACATAATTAAAGCAGAAGCTACTGCTGAATTAAGCCATTATCTCTGGAAACAGAATATTTTAAAACTACTTAAGAGGTTTGCTATATTTAATAGACACTCCATTACATCAGAAATGATAAACAGATAAAAGAAATCCCCATATATATAAAAAAATTCCATATAGCTGATATATGTAGGAAAACCAGAAGTCTGTCATTTACCTGCACTTTGGATTTTCTTTCTTCTTCAGGACTGAAACTACTGTTTGTGCTCAAATCTGAATCATTATGAATATAGTGAAGTGTAGAATCCATATTCTACAAAAAAAAAAAAAAAAGAAGGTCACACAAAATACATTCAAGGATTAAACATAAAACAAATGTCAATATCAAGAAGTGTTGTCCTCACCTCAGGGTCTTTTTCTTAAATTAAAAGAATACATGTTTCAATATCAAATACAACTTTGTTACAGCCTGAAATCAAGAGATCTGTTAAGATAAATCTTTCTGCTTTCAATTGCAAACACAGGCTCCTCTTATTCTGCTCCATTTTGATCTTATGAAAAATCAGGAGTGGAGTACCTTTGAGACTGCGTTAAGGAAAATGTAACTAACACACGGGTCATGTTGCTTCTCCCCTGAAGGGAAAGTGAGAAAACATCTGTAGCAGGTTTTGTTGAATTTGTTGCTTTGGATTTGTGGTAGAAAAAGGTCAAAACAAACACTTAGAAGTAAAAACTGATGAGACTTACACTGTTGCTCCTTTCCTAGAGGTGATTATTCTGTAATCTCTACAGATGAGCTTCACCTTATCATACAGAGTCCTAGTGGACCACAGCTGCTGACACTGGTGGCCACCCCTCTCAGCAGTTCTATTAAAATAATTTTTAGCAATCATTCAAGCATCCCAGCTACATATCTAAGCCTTGAAGATAAGGACTGAGATTCTGTTTCAGAACTGTACCAAGCAGCAGAGGTCTGATGCGCCATGACAAACTGTGCTGCTGAGGGGATGCACTGTCACTTTCTATGCCAGTGGAATTCCCCAAGTACAATGGACTTTGCATAATCAACTGTGAATTTCAAGAAGTACATGATGAATATGAAAAGTAGAACAGGCTGCTGCGTGGTAGAACAGGACAACGGCATTTTTGCCAAGGTATCTGTTCACAGATGCTGCAGGGTGAGCTCTGGGGTCAACACAAGCACGGAGAACATGCCTACTCTGCCAGCTGTTCGGATCAGTTTGACAATGAGAATTTTCCAGCAAACTATAAACTTCTTCAGAAAAGCCTCCAGGACACCATCTGTGTTCCTTGGTTTGACTTCAGACAGTTGCTTTTTCCTCTTCCACGAGCTGCTTTCATCTAAGCACTGGGTTGTAATTTTAGTCCCTGAGGTACAATTACAGGCAATAAGGAACAGGCAGAGCTGTGAGGCAACTGCCCATCGCTTGCACCGCAGCCCAAGTGACCTGTCGGACTCATCAAGCAGCAGCACCAAGGTGCCCAAGAGCCAAGGAAAGAACAGAACTGCAAGCAGCTCCGTAACTACGTGTGTCCAGCAGCATACAACTCCAAGTATGAAACCTCCAGGGGCTCTGAAAACCCTCTCTGCAGGATTTTAGTTTGCCAGTCAATTCTTCCCTCCTTTTTAGCTTTTTTTTTTTTTTTCTTCCAGGAAAAGAGATCATTTTCAGCATTGCCAGAAAGTCACTGGCTTTGACCTCTTTCAAATCAAGAAATGAGGCAGCCACAGTGCTTTCCACAAGTTGCCCAGGTGCATGGGACCGGAGGCCAGTCATCCATTCTTCTACAATAAAAATGAAAAGACTCCGTCTCACAATCTCTGCTACACCAGCTCTAAAAGGCTAAGTTTTAAAAAAATACATACATCCTTTATTGACTGAACTAAGTTGAACAACTAAATATACTGAAGTGTGTCACAGGTGGGAACATTCTACTCAGCCACTTTTAAAGTCAAATATGCATTCCAGAAAGGAAGAGCTTCAGCACAGAACTACAGCATCAGTCAGTATTGAAGTCAATGCAGTATCTCTGTTCCTGCAGATGAAGTTCCATCTGCACTTCTGTCATGTAACACGCACACACTGAACTGAGCACTGCAGAGAGCCAGGACAGAAGAATTCAGCAAGGTTTAGCCTGAAGGCTTCCTGCGTACCAAAGCGGTGAACCACCACCTCTGAGATGCAAAATCTTTGTCACAGGCTTACAAACCTCTTATGGGAGGTTTTCCTGCAGCTGCAGTGCAACAAGAGCTCCGTGGTTGTGCTCCACAGACCTCTGCTCTGCACCACAGGTGGCACAAAAAGGCCACAGCACCAGGACAAGTGGTGCTGGTATTTCATGACAGGGCAGCTGGCCCAAACACAGAGAGAAGAGGCCAGTCTCAGAGGTCCAGTGTCCTCCCAGCATCCACCCTCTTCTTAAAGAGAGGTACTTGTACCAGGGCAAGAGTAAGCTGATTTTAGTCCTATTTCCTTTCTCTTTCTTTTCATTCCCTTCTCCCTCTAAAATACAAACAAAATAAATGGTGGCTCTCAAGGAAAATTAAAACAGCTACCCTCATGCTCAATAAACAAGCTTCATCTATATCCCAAAATCTTATCTGTTCACTTTGTTACATTTATTTTCATTTGAATAGAGAATCTCTCTTTAACATGCAGCATTAACTCCTCCAGGAGCCAATACAGACGCAGAAGGACAAGCGAAGTGCAATTTTGTTTTGTGATGTGTGCAGAACTACGATGGCTGCTTTCAAACATAAAATGCTGTAGCTTGATTTTTCTCAAGTGTCCAGCACTCTACTGACACATTGCTATGCCAAAACTGGGGAAAAAACAACAAACAAAAAACCCCAAAAACCAGACAAACCCATCACCAAAAAAACCAACCAACCAAACAAAAAAACACCCCAAAAACAAACCCACAAAAAAACAACGAACCAAACAAAAAAACACCCTACAACAACAACAAAGCAGCCACCCACACAAAACCAACTAAGCAAAAACCATCACCATAAAAATACAACACCTGTGAAAATCAGATCTCTCTTCACTGCTAGGGGCAACAGTCCACTTGCTCAACAGGTCACAGCTTGATTCCCAAATTCTAGGTCACCTCTATAATACCCTTTTCACTTGTAAAATGAGGACTTGATTCAGTGCCAGTAACAAACAAGGAAGTGACAGATTAAGAGTGTCCTTTTAAAGAGTAAAACTGAAACATGCAAAACCAACATCTACCAGCAATGTAACAGGTTCTTAAACTTTGTCAGCATCATACTCCGTAGAGAAATAAAATGCAGGACAGGTCCCTCTGAACAAACACCACCCTCATCACCCCCCCCCCAGATCAGAAGCCAGAGGATACATTCACAGTCACTTCACAGGTTAGTATTAGAACGAAGTACGTACAACAGATCCCGCGGTAAAGAAACACACCAAGCCTGACATCAGGAATTAGGGGCACATTGTCTTTTTGAAACCAACCAACCAACCACACTTCTGGTGCTGAATTATCATCACGTATGAACAGCAGTATCCAAGTAAACGCCACGTTACTCCACTCCCCCTGTGTGTTTGGGCTACGTGGTAGTCCAACAGCTTAGGTGCAAAGTTAATTAAACGTCATCTAGAAACACTGCTCTAATTAAAGAAGGCTGAAAAAGTTTGCACTGGACTGATGTCTTCTCCTAGACTTTTCAAATAGATTTATCAACATTTCATCGGAAAATACTATTTAAGCAATGTGATTCAACAAATCACTTGCTGTGGTTTCATGGAGCATACTTTGTAACCATTGCTTTCTGCACAGCTATAGCTGTTAACGCCATCAGAGCTTGTGGCACTATATGCAGTGAACCTAGTGGGTTTGGCCTAACAGACAGCACAGAACAGAAAATAGTATCAAATGCCAGAGGCTTCAGTCAGGCAGTGGTGGGGTGCTGAAGTAGTGCAAAAAAAGTTTAAAATGTTACTGATTGCTAGAATCCGCTTTCTCTTTCAGTAATCCACACAACAGCGATTGCAGGTCCTGAAATTCTCTTATGCAGGGCAGTAAAGTACTGTAAAATATTTCGACAGGGAGCACAGGGAATAAAGCACCTCTTCCTCCAGATGGGTGGGCAGGGGGGGGAAGAGAGGCAGGAGGGCAGTGGAGAAGGAGATTCACTTGCTATTAGTAGGGCTCTGTTTTAAGGCAGACAATTTCACAGCAAACTGCAGCAGCATTAAAAAGTCTTAAAATGTCATAGTCATAACAGAGATTTTAACGGAAACAGTATCAAGAATTTACATGGACAAGCACAGAACTGGCAAAAACAAAGGCACCCAACACAACTCATTCTATTTTAGTAGCTAGCGCTTCAAAACCAGCCAACAAAACGGAATGCCACACTGCCCAGAAACAGGGGCTGCAGTCACCACACGCATGCAAAATACAGCTCTATTACTCTATTACTAGAGCCCTGGAAAAAAAACCCAGAGATTAAAACTCACTTCTTACCTCAACAGTGTCACCAATTAAAGGCACAATATCACTCAGTATAGGTTTAAAACTTTGTTGGTCATTGACGGTTAGTTCAGTCTGTGAGTCTGGTCCCTTGCCAACGCTGGCCATCGTCTCTTCTTGAGGATCCAGACTGGACGCTCTGAGTGCAGCGGACAACACCTCCACTTGTGCTGCAGCATATGAAAGGGAAATCCATGAGAGACTGAACTGCAATTAACTTCTAGCAAGTCCACAAATCAACTTCTAGGCAGTGACTAATTAACTGAAACATGGCAGAACAACTACAGGGGAGGTACAAATTTCAGATTATTGACTGTTTGTAAATCCCAAACTGCGGACAATTAGAGTAAAACATAAGGCAGATTAACACTCCACTTTTCCTAGGATGCTCAACCACACTCAAGTTCAGTAACATTTGACTTTAAAGAGAAAAAAAAACACCACCAAAAAACGCCAGGAGTAAGAGCCTGCTGTTATGGCAGGATCAGTTCTTTAGGAATCTTCGTACATACTGATGTTGCAAATAGTCTTTAGGGCAGAACGGCACATCAATAGTAACTTACTGACTCGGTCTTTTGTGGGAGGTGGAAGCAAGAGAGAGAAGGGAAAAGTAATTCAAATAAAGGTTGAGAACAGGTTTATTCACACAGAAAGGATTTCGGTTCTGGGAGGCTGTCTGTCTCTCACTAAATTCTTACATTTTTACAGCAACTCTAAAGCAAGATCTACAGACACTAGACCCCCGTAGCTCTTTTCTGGACAGGACACTTCAGCCTCCTTGCATCCTCCAAACAAATAACGAAGGTTGCACTGTTCGATGTCCTTTTATTCATCAAAAGAAAGCATTAGCACTTCAGACTCTGCCATCCACTTTTAAAAAAGATCCAGCAGTTCTGAGACTGCTCTGCTTTCCATCCCTCTGCTTGCTGCTAATTCAGAAAAGCTTTGTTAAGCTATGTTCCTTGGATATTGCCTGACCTAAGCAGATCAGGTGTCAGAGGCAATCTTAGCTACAAGAGACACAGAATTCAGTGCCCACTGACCTACCCTACCTCCTTCTCCACTTCCTTCCAAGAAGGTAAGGGGGAATAATCTCCTCATCCATTACATTTACCCAGCCATCCAGAAGCTCTGTTCCTCACAGACTTTGGCTTTTCCAAGGTTTCTTACATGCTCACCGCGAAATTAAATGACAAACCATATGTTTGTTTTTAATCCCATGTTGCCATACTAAATTACAGAACCTGAATTTCTCAAAACTGTTGCCCCTTGTCCTATCACTACTCTTGATCAGGGAGGGTAATGATAGGACCAGGGGTAACAGTTTCAAATTGGAAGAGGGGAGACTGACATGAGATCTTAGGAAGAAACTCCTCACTGTGAGGGTGGTGAGGCCCTGGCACAGGTTGCCCAGAGAAGATGTGGCTGCCCCCTCCCTGTGTATCTGTTACATGAAGCAAAATTGTAACTCGGCACAATGTTAGCTAGCAAAAACTGGAAAACACGCTTCAGGTTCACTAGTAGAGTGAACAGGTGGAGTCTCATCAACAGGAGTAAAGACAATTCTTTACAATGGCAATGCTAGCTCCATAACTGCACCAAATTTCTCACAGAATAACCAAGAGATAATCTTGCTGTATTACTGCAATTCACCTCAACAGGAAAACACACAGCCAAGTCAGAAACTGAAAAACAAAACCAGTATCATACGAATACTTCCACTATAAAATACATTATGTTAGAAAATACAGTTTCAATATATATCTACAATACATTATATAATTTATATATAAAAGTTAGGAATTTTACAATTCCTAAGATTAACAAAGATTAAAAGCTTGCTATGACTTCATTCTTCAAGTGTTACTTCACCGACAATAAACCTCTGTACTTTAAGGCCCATGAGGATGAACAAGATCAAGGTTAGTAAATCTCTCCAAAATTTGGAAGTTAAATAAATCACCCCAAACCCATGCAAAATAGGTGGTCATTTCAGAGCATGCCCATCTCATTCCAGTGTATTATCATTTAGAGAAATCAAACACGAAAATTAAAGAGTGTTATATTCTGCTGCACATCAAGGAGACATTTTTCATGAAGACTTCTTTCACGACGGACAACTTCATGAAAGATGTACACTCACTTTCATTTAAAAGTCAAGAAAGCTTACCCTGACTAAGTAGCACATACTGCTTCAACACTGAATATGTATTCACTGAAAAACAGTTACTGAAAAAAGACCTCCAAAGATGACTTCACAAGAGTGAGGGTATCTACAGCAGTAACTGAGAATTTTCCAAGATATATTCCCCACCCATGCCCCACTGTCACACGCCTGCACACCTGGACCACCCTTGCTTAGGGGCTTAGCGGGATGGAGACCACATATATCCCGATTTCCTCTGCCTGCCCTAGAGGACATATGACGCAAATGTGCATCTCCTCAGCTTCTTGTCAATTCTACAATCCCAAGATGCGGGGATGAAGGACAGGAGAGGCCAAACTCCCAAGGATTTCATTGACTGGCAAGTGCCGCCTTTCTTCAAGTGCTTCTCCATAGGTCCCGTCACCAAGGGTGACTCCAGTGCTATCATTCACCGAAAGGTGAAGTCTGTAAAGATCTTAAGGTCCTAGCCAAAAAAAGCCAAGTAGTCACTATGGAGGGCTCCAGAGTGGTGCAGCGCTTATGAAGAGAGGATGAGAAAGCCTGTGTAAGTATGTGCCTATCTGTGCACAGCTCTAGGTGGCTGCCCTGAAGATACAGAAACTTGAGACAGCATCCTAACTAGCTGTCTTCAGCACCCTGGCCTCAGGTGCCAGGGCACATCCCCTCACAATCCCATCACACAGACACAGTCCAAAATCTGTGCTGACACCCTCCTGACTGAGGTGGCTGCTGCTCCTCCCCACCTCCCACAGAGATCTTTCCTACAGCCATAAGACAGATGTCTTCTAGAAAAGCATTAGAAGCACAAGCAAAGGATAGGGCTCCCCCCTCATGCATGACACAGAGAAATGAATGCCTCAGAGTCCTTGGGAAGCAAGGTTTTGGGAAGACAAATGGAACGGAACCTGCTGGCTAACTAGCTTTCACAGCTACTTTCAGTAAAAATTGGAGTGTAAAAGGTCAGTTTTGAGGATAACACAGAACTGGTAAGAGACAGTTAATGTTCGCTAGATCTTAAACCATCTGCTAATTAACTCTCTTCTCTTGACTTTTACTTCAGGTGACAAGCATTTTTCACTAAGGAATTATTTACTCTTGGCTACCTTACCTGCATCCTAAAATAACTGACACAACTGTAAATTTAAAACCACATTTTACCTGGCCTTATTAAACTTCCTGGTCCTCAGGATTTTCCATCCTTTCAATATGCCTTGTTGTTGTTTTCTGTTTTCCTGATGTTTCACTAGAAGACACTGACATTTCTAAGTGGCAGCCTCCCTTCTTTTTTCTGAAGGATCTGCCTTCCTTACCCTCAGTTCTTACTCAGAGGCAAAAGCCATGGGCTGCATTAATGGGTACAGAGATGCAAGTAAATAAAACACAAAAATAAGAGGAGTTTCTTCTCCACTTCCTCCTCATTTACTGTTCATTAACCACATTATTTTAGACTCTTACTGCAGGCAGTGCTAGTAGCCTAACTTATAAACATAGTTTTTATAAGGGAATGAGATCAAATGACCCCACATTTGGGCTGGTTTATCCCTACTAGGTCTCAATTTGGCAAAGCAGCCTGTAACCGGCATAAGCCACAGTTAGCCCCTCTCTCTTCCTTAAGAAAAGCTGCCATTACATAATTTAGCACTTTCTATGCAAAACATAAGGAGATAAATAAAGCTGAAGAAAGTGTCCCTGGAAAGAAAAATAAAGAAATAAAAACATCTGGGGAAAGAAAAGCAACTTCTGAAGTGAAGACAGCAGCAGCCTCAGGGAGCTGGAAAAAGGTGACCTGAATAAAGACCCTGTGATAATTTTAAAAGAGCCAGCACACTTCAGAGGAATCTGCAGGTTTCCATCTCCCAGTCTGAGACCCTCAGGATGTCTGGCCAGTGGATTGAAAAGGTCCTATTAACAGAGATTACACACCACTGATTAACTTTGCATAGCTTGTGTCGCTCTGCTAGCTAGGAGTTTGTCTGTGAAAACACAGGCCATCTTTATCTTGGTTGCTGACTGCTCAACTACCTATCACTCAGGTTTATCACTTTGGCAACAAGCTAGTTCTGGAGAGAAAGCCTCAAGATAAAGATTTGTTGGAAGGAGATTCAGTTAAAGCCATTCACCCCTTTCTGAGAATGAGATTACAGAAAAGAGTCTGCTCTAGGGCAGCTGCTGGTCGCTTGTAAAATACTGTGTTTGCTAGAGACCTCATCAGTCTCCATGCCCTTGGAGCAAGGATTTCAAGTTTGAAATGGAAACTGCTCTGATGATAGGGAGGTGCACTACAAAACCAGAAAACACAGTCAAGTTACAAACTCAAAGAACCCCAAACCAACCAAACAAAACCACCCAAAACCCCCACACAACCACAAACAGTTCATTCTGTGTATCTAAGCAGTAACCCTTTAGTGCTTGACAGCCAAGACATCTGGAAGACTGGGGTATGCACTGAAGATATAGTACTCTGGGCTGCATGAGCTGGTAATGCCTTTCCTTTCCACTGATCCTTCCCCCCTTCCCCTTGGCATAGTATGCTGAGGTACCCCACAGATAAAAGCTGAGTTATTCTGTTCTCAACACTTCTGCTATAATGATGCAAGCAGGTGAGGGAAGAAGCACCTTGCACAACATAGAAAGGTGAGGTGTGGCATGTGAAGCAGAGGAATGCAGAATCCAGAAAGGAAGAGAAAAGAAAAGAAAACAGGAAATAGGAGAGGAAATACACACCGAGGGAGGGGATGGGGGCATAAAGGTATAGTAGTTGCTCTGGATGCATATACACTGCAAAACACATGGGGGAGAAAAAACCAACCAACCAACCAAAAAACCCAAACCAAAACAAAAAACCCCACCACTGTACTGCTCTGACCCAGACAGAATCACTGCCAGTTGAACTCCAGTACCCAATCCCTGCACCTGCCTCAGCTGTCAGGGACTGGGTCTGAAACCAACTAGCAAAATGAAAATCATCAGCCTCCACTGATTGTACCATGAAGGACATCACCTTATTACCATTATCAGTTATTCTGCAGAGTTAAAGAATAAAAATTCAGTGTGATCTTAAGAACCTTCAAAAACCCTGTGCCAATGACCCTGGCCAATATAGTTCCACACAACAGGTATTAATTTTTTTATTTATTAAAGTTTAGAAAATACTCTCCAAAACAAAACGTGTTAAGAGAAGGACGCTGAAGTTGTAGAGTCAAGCGCTGAGAGGGCAGGCACAGCCAGAGTTAAGGCTGTCTGAACAACTTAGCCTTATCGACACATGTATAACATCACACACTACAGTCTCATTCCCAAACTAGACTTTTGCTAACTCATCCCCACTTCATCTTGTGATGTCTCTCAGATGCTTGCCCCACTTGCTATAAAACCCAGAGCAGTGTAGCTATGGGAGCTCTCCACTATGGCAAGCCTTCGCTTACCCACCACAGAGTACACTGCATCTTCCACTCCCGTCCCTTGGCTGGGAATGCAGCAACAAAGACAGAGACACAGCATGGAGGCAGGAATCCAGGACTTGGGTGACAGCAAACCAATGAAGCAAGTAAGTACAAGAAACAGGTCACAGGGATTTAAAAAGAACGAAAGAGAGGAAAAAAAAAATTCCTAGCTTGCTCAGTCTTTGCTGTCAAGAACCAGCCCACACACAGTACAAGACTCATAAAAATATAACGGTTAGTCTGGTGAAGAGGAGGGGGGAGGGCAGGAAAGACCCTAAGCACCACTTGGGACCTGTCTGGCAAACACTTGTAAGCCACATATACTGGAAACAAAATTATCTGTGAAGTTAAGAAGTTTTATAAAATTTCTATGAAAACAACAAAATTAAGACAACCTTTGGACTGAGTATTTATACCATCAGTTTGCAACAACAGTTTCAGCTGATAAAGATGGACACATAACTCCTGATACTGCCATGAGCAAAGAGGTAGTCAGGGCTCTGATCTTCTGGATCACCCCCAAAGGGAGTTTACCTCCCTCTTGTCACAATTTATGGGGTGTAAGGTCCAAAATATAGGAATTAAGTCAGCTACTCTGAGACTAAAGTCTGGATACCTACCGCTTCTATGTGCGCTTTAGTGTCTCAGACAAGCATGCAAAATGAATACTATTCTATCAGGTTTGGTCTGTTTTCCTTATGCCTCAATGCACTTTGTGTAAAATTAAAACAGCATTACCAAATCAAAACAGGCATGTTGTCAAATTCCAGCTTCTGAAGTATTTACAGCAAACAATGAAAGTGCAGGCAAGAGGAAAAAAGTATACAAGGTTTAGAAGGTGTGTTTCATGGGGCTTCAGTACACAGCCTTGATCAAGTCAGAGGTACCGAAAGGAATACAAAGGTGACTGAGCAATTAAGACCATCCACCCCACCCCAAATTAAGAGTAAATGGCACTAGTAACCCTAATTCAGATCTTTCCTAACTTGTGGGCACTGAGAACCCAGGGCATTGACAACTTAGTAACAGTTTTCTTCTACTGAAATACACAAGTGCTAGTCAACAACTGCATAGACACCCAGTCAAGAGAGGTACAAAAAAAAAATACAACTTGCTCTGAAACAAGATATGAACACATATGACAAATAACCCCGTAACACAGAGCAATTCTGGATGTACAAATACATGCCCACACAAATCTTCATTAAATGTGTTTAAGATATGTTCTGTAACTGGACAGAACAAGGTTTCACAAAACAAACCCAAACAGCAGCGCAAGTTTTAACAGCGGGCTTCAGAGATGGGGTATATGAAGACTGAGATCATTAGCAAGGCTGAAATTTTTCTTTTACCTCTTTCCTTAGAGACACATTGCCCAAAGCACTCTTAAGGCATCGAAGCTGCATCTAGTAACTTCACAATAGATTAAATGGAAGCAGCCCAAAATGGATTTAAGAAAAGCTATTAGCATATCAACCTACTAACATCAAAAAGAAGTTCAAAGTAGCATCAGCTTCTTCTAAAATGTTTTACCCACTTCCAGCTTGGCTCTCTTTTTCCTTCCTACTTTTTCTGGTACAAAGGCACGCTTTCCCCTAGGGATTCTTCAGCTCCAGAATAACATGGCTTCTTCCTTAGTGGTACCTCTGGATTTTCTGACTGCGATGCTCAAAGCTTGCTGTGCCTTAGAATTTATTCTGTATACAAACACCAAGAGAAGTGTATCTCTGGTAGGTACGT